GAGGGAAGGACTGTGGGGAGGGAGACCAAAAGGTTGAGGACAGGAAGGGAGTGAGAGAGAAAAGAAGAAGAGAAGAAAAAGTGAGGAGAGAAGAGGGGCCAGACGCGAACAGAGCAGTTCAGGGGTGTGAGGAAGGACGTAGAGGGATGGGCACGCCCTGCACCGCCAGCCACCTCCCTGTCCTGCCAGCTCCATCCCCCGTCAGGAAAGACAGGCCAAGGCTCTGCTGCACTGTGCCCCTTCCCTTCTCCAGACCCAGGATCTTAGCATCCCTGGATTTTGACATCCAAAAGGCCGGGCTCAACTTACCCCACATGGAAGGCAGTGACTCACATAGATGAGCCTGCTAGAGCACCTTTTCCAGGAGCAGAGATCCACCAGGGCAGACGGGGGCTGCTTTCCCCTCTCCTGGGGCTGGCTGGAACACCCTACTCTTACCCCAACTCACAGTGATCCCCAGAGAGGGAGGCAATGCGGTGGTGCACTCTGCTCCAGCACCTGCCACCTGCCTGACACCCACATGGGGACAGCTTCCAACGGGATGCAAGTGGCAGACAAACGTATCCCAGGAGAGCAGGTGGGGGAGGCTGAGACTGGGGAACGGGCACCCCTCATCTCCCACAGGCTCAGCGGCTCCCTCAGGACATGGAGAAAGCTGGGAACCCTGAGACAGAACTGGAAGTTCTTGTTGCCTAAATCTCTCCTGGCCTGCTGCACATGGAACCTATTCCTTCCCATTCAGGGCTCTGCAGAGGCAGAAGATGAACAGTAAAATGCAAAGATCTGGCGACCTTCAGAGCTGGGTGAGTCCTGGGGTCCTCACCCCATTATGCCTAAGCTACAACCCTGTATTCCCTGTCCTCCCAGCCCTAAGGGTTCTGGTCCCAGTACGCAGGGGTGGCTCAAAAACCCACTGAGCTGCAAGGGTCTGAGAGCACCCCGTGTCACAGAGGAAGAGAGGCGGCCTTGGACCTGGGATCTTGTTTGCAGCTCTTTATCATGGACACTCTCCTAGAACTCCCCAGTCCCTCCACCTCCTCCTGAAGTACTCCAAGAGCTGGTCAACACCGAGAGCCCACCTCAGGCTGTGGCATGGCTCTTCAGGGGGCCTGGTGGGTCATGGGCTTACCTCTCCCAGTTCCTGTGTCCCATAACTCAGGGCCCAGATGGAGACACTGTGACTGTTCACTAATCAGATAAATTAGTATGTAGGAGAAAGGCCTTGCAAGCTCTATTCTTCAGATGAGAACACTGAGGCTCCGCGAGGCAGCAAGTCTTTCTGAGGGCCAGTGGAGCAGACCACCCTGGGAGGCCTAAAGGAAGTGCTGGCGGAGCTGAAGCCGCAGTTCTCCTGCCTGGTCTTCCAGTCCAGCCCTCCACCTCACCCTTCCCCCTCCCTCAGCCCTGCCCTGGGCTCCAAATCCTGACCTGATAGAGTCTTACCTGAGCAGGCCCACCTCAGACTGCCTGCTGCAGACCCACACACCCCATCCCCTTCTCCCTCCGCAGGAGCATGCCCCCGCCATCACTCCCCTGCTCCATGAAACCCAAAGGCAGACCCCCCGCAATCCTCCCCATTCCCATAGCATTGCAGCCCCTGCATCTGACCACATCCCTCCCTGCTTAAAACTCTTCAACAGCTCCCAGCTTCCCCTGGGACAGAAAGCTCACTCCTCATGTCAGCATTCAAGAGCCCCGTGTACTTTTCTGGCTTCATCTCCAGCCACCATCACCCCCCACCGCCACCTCCACCCAACCTCTTAACACCCTGGTCTGCTCTCCAAACACACAACCGCTTGCATGTCCCTGGCTCACCCTGCAGGGCCAGCTATGTCTCACCCCCACAAAACTTCACATGGCCATTCTAGAGAGACCAAGTGCACCCCTCAGAGCTCCTGTAGCCCCCAGGCTTCCTCCCTTCCTGGTGCATATCCTCTGCATGCTTGTCTGAATCCCCTCTAAACTGTAACCTCTCTGCAGGCAGGGGCCCTGCCAACCTTGCCAAATGATTATCCTTTGCACCCAGCACACCCCTGAACACCTAGTAGGTGTTTAAGAAATACTGTCTAATATTAGGCTCTAATTATTTCATTGATAGTGTAGTCTGGTTCCCTGCTCCATCCGCATGAACCGAAGAGACACTCAGTCGGGACTGGGGGAAGCTGTCAGTCAAGTTCCCCTCAGCTTTCACCTCTGTGCTCTCTCTCTGGGGGATGGGCCTGCCCCCACCATGGGGTTCCCCAGCAGCGGTAGGCCCACCGCAATGCCTGAGGCCCCAGGGACTATCCCTGGGAGAATTGACTTAACATCTTGTCAACGCCAACCTCCCCAAGCTCCTTAATCACTTCAGACATTACACAACTGATGGGTGACCAATAGGACCTGAGACCTTCCCCATCCCCTCTCCACTTGCCTACAGGTCCCTGGGGCCTCTGCAGAACCACCCAGAAGCCCCAAAGTGTGACATCACCAGTTCAACAGTCTTTCCCACTCCCATCACTTCCTGAAACAGCCAGAGCAAGAAGATGATGCATGTGAGCCCTGCCCTTGGGAAGCCTCCAGGTTGGGAAATGAGGAATGAGCCTGACACCCAGGACCCAGAGAGACCCAGGACAGAGGCAGGCCAGGAGGCAGACACGTGCTGCTGGGTGATGACGACAGCACCAGTAATCACGACTACTCCTTATTAAGTACTTACTAAGTGCAAGACTCCAAGCTAAGCAATTAATAGATCTTTTCTTGTTTAATCCTTACCATAATTCCATAGGGTGAGTATAATCCTTAATTTATAGTTTGAAAAAGGAGGCTCAGAGAGATCTAGCAATGTGTGCAGCATCACACAGCTAGTCAGTGGTAGAGCTCGAATTTCAATCCAGATCTGCCAGCTCCAAAGCCAGTGCCCTTTCTACCCCACTTCAAGCTCTAGGTGGGGGTTTGTTAATTCCCTTACAAAGAGCCTCATGGGAGCCCCATTACCAATAACATAAGCCCCCTACAGCTGAGACTCCCCCGGGTGACCCCTGCCTGCCTTCTCACCATTGCTCCCAGCCCACCACCATCACACCTGAGATTTTAACACTGCCGTTTTTGAAGTTTACCCCTCTGAGTCTTGGCTTCTGCTGTTTACTCAGGCTCAAATCCAGCCCCACTTTACAGATGACAAAACAGAGAACTAAGAATGTTAAGTAACTAGCCCAAGGTCACGCAGCTAGAAAGCAATTGAGCCTGGTTAGGGCTCAGGTCATTAGAGCATCAAGTAATCAAGCATTAATTTGTGTTACAGACAATTACAGAATGAGAATTAGCAGGACATGTCGCTAATGGTGCAGAAGAAGTTAGGGGAGAGGAATCAGGCAGGCTCCAGAGTGAAGGAGGGCCAGGCTAGGCCTTGAGAAATGGGCAGGCTCTGAATGTGTGTTCTTGAAAGGGGAGGGCAAGAGAAAAGTACAAAGATGACAGCAAAGAGAGGGAGAGAGGAAGGGAGAGGGGGTTGTCAAAATTAGGAAGAGAATGTGGCATGGTGAACAGAGCTGTGACTGGGAGTCAGGAGACCCAGCTGTGTCCCCTCAACTTCCTGTGTGATCTTGGGCAAGGAAGGCCCTTCCCTCTCTGGGGGGTGCCTTGTCTATCAGTGAAGGATAGATGCACCTAGGTGGCCTCTGGGGTCCCACCTGGCCCTGACATCCCAGGAATTTTTGTGTTGCCATTGGACCTTGAAACACAGAATCTGACCCCAGACCCCTGACATGTGGTACAGGCTTGGACACCAAGGGCAGACAGGGCCAGCAGCTAACATGGCACCTGACAGGGAGCACCCAAGGGCTATCCCCATCCACTCGCAGTCACTCACGCGCCCCTTCTCCTCCTGCATCCGTGCTACTAAGCATGTGTGGACTCGCTACATTGGATCCAATCCTGTGGAAGCTAGAACGCAGCAGAGGCGAAAGAGTCATATACCCAAGGAAAGGCGTTTGTCCTCAAGGAAAGGCAAACGGAATGGAGGTCCTTAGAGAAGGGGCAAAGAAAACTTCCTGAAAGTAAGGGTGGAGGTTTTCAGATTGGAATACATGGTCTACCAAACTGGAGGACATTTGAGGAAAAAGAATGGTCCCCAATCAAGACAGCACTGCACCCAAACATAAAGTACCTTCCAGACCATCAGCAAAGGAAACAGTCCTGTCTCAGGGGCCTGTGCTCACAGCAACAGAAGCTGCTGGAGAGCTCAGAACCCGTGGAGGCAGAAGACGCCTCACTAGAGACTGTGGACACACATATCTGGGCACACACAGGCATGCACACACAGGTGCTCACACACAAGCCTGAACAGAGACCCCACCGTGGGCCGTCCATCCTCCCACTTCCCAGTTGAGCCCGGTAAGCAGCTCTCCCTCTCCAGCAAACACACCCCTCACGTGCCGATGACATGCAGCCCTGGAAGTGAGAACGTCTCGCTGTCTCACCTCGCTCCCTCTTGCTGCAGTTCTGATGTGCTTGCTTCTTTTCTGACTCAAGAGATGCCAAACAGAAACAGGCCCACCCACTTCTGTGTCCTGACTTTCGCCTTCTGGAACATGAACTCAGCTCTTACCTTTCCTACCTATTTGACCTCCAGACCCCTGTCTTATTCACAACGGAATGCCAAATGATGGATGATGGGCACTCGGGAGCCCACGTGATCCTCCAGTGGCCAGCCTCACTGTGCCCTCCAGATTTATCCCACAGCTAGAAGCTCAGGGCAAGCACCAGCTCCTCTGCTGACTGGCTGCAAAAGCTCGGGCTGAGTTTCTGTGTTCTACAAGGTTACAGTGAAGATTACACGAGAACAGCCTGCAAAGCACTTAGCACAGAGCAGGGCACAGAGTAAGCCCTCGATGATGAATAATACACTTATTATTATTATTTGTCTCTAATTTTAACTCCCTCTCCCCTTATCCCACCATCCCACAGGTTGAGTAGGAAGTCCTTTTTGAAGTCTAATCTCAAGCCTTCATGCCACGCATTGGGCCAATGTTCCACCTTAATTGGAGTCCGGGGACTGAGGTGGAAAAGGCAGAACTGGCTGATTGGAGGAGCCACGTCCCTGCAAGGGGCCAGGAGGGAGATTACAGAGGCGCCAGGCCCAGAGCTCCAACATGCACCTGCCGCCGCTCCAGGGGAGATCGGGGTCCTGCCAATTTACCCCGCCCCATGATCTCATGGCTGTGTGTGCCAGGCACTAGCTCAGGGAGCAGGTACTGACAGCAGGGCCTGGGCAAGAAGCCCAAGACAAGAAGATGGGAAGGCTGTGGAGAGCCGACAACAGAGCTGTCCCCATGGGGCTCAGACACGAGTTTCCTCCGGCCTCCACATGTGACCTTTAGCTAGTGACTCACAGTCTCTGTCCCTCCGTCCAGGCCCTTCCATGCTCCCCAGTGGCCTCCCTGTGCTGCCCCCTCACACCAAAAGACAATGGGTGAGGAGAGGGGAGGCTCTCCTCCTCGCCAGGGGCCATTCCCTCCCCTGCATCTCTTTCTGCTGACCCTGAACAGGACACCCTTGCTTTAAAGCACAGGAAGTTCGCTGGGCAGGAGACTGGTAGCCAAATGCTGTCACTCCTGAGGCTGCCGCAGGCATGCAACTAAATGCCAGCTGTAAAGGGCCTGTAATCCCCAAAGAGATGCCTCTCTCTCTCTCTGTTTCAGGGTGTCCGTAGAGATCAGACAGACCTTGAGTTAACCCCAATCCCAAGTTCTCCTGTGTCTTAACCCTCAACCTCTCCTTCCCCAGCCAATTCCTGGATATGTCTCTCCCCAAATTATCCCCTCCACTCACCCCAAAATCCACCACTGGGAGTCCAAAGACCCTCCCCTGAGCCTGGCTGGACAGACTGCAGCTTCTGGAACACAGCATGGCAGGCCTGGCTGGCAGTCCCAGGGGAAGGAGACGTCTGGTCCTGCTGGACCACCAGGGGCTCCCTTTGCCTCCTGATTATAGGAAGAGGCCTCTACATGGCCCAGAGCTCTGCCCTCAGGGTGCTCTCTCTGCTCCCAATCTCACTGTCTGCTCTCAGACTTTCAGCTCCAGCGCAGCCAGACACATGTGCCTCCTTGTCCCCACCAAGGATCTCCCCAAGTAAGTTCCACCCCTTCCAGCTTCCCGGTCCCACCCCTTCCAGCTTCCCGGCCCTGCTTCCTGGCCTACCCTTCCTACAGGGAGCCACCTGGGCTCTGCCTGTCTCTCCCTCCGCAGTCACCACCCCAGCCCTAGAGTCCAGGTGCCCCTGCTGCTCCCACCTCAGACCTTGGCCTGGGAGACACCAGCCTTCCCCACCCTCAGGGAATTCCTCAAAAATCAAAAACCTCATAACATGGGTCCATCCACCATACACACACACACACACACACACACACACACAGATACACACAAACACACACATATACATGCTCTGTCCTCCCCTCCTAACCGCTGGCCCCCACCTCCCTCTCTGTAAGGAAACTGGGGAGACTGAAATCCCCTCCAGCCCAAGACCTCTATGAATCTGAGGTTTCTCTCCACAGCCTCAGGTCGGGGCTCCCGCCCCGGATGCAGCCAAGTCTGGAGGCAGGCTGACCACAGGGCACACACCCTCCTGACTGGCCTCTGGATCCTGAGGAGGGGGACAGCTGGCCTTGGTAGCATTCCCCACTCCACTTTCCAGAATCTCCCTCAGCCCCACCTTGGTAGAAGTCACACTCCCTTCTTTTCTCTCCCCAGCATCTCACAGAGAAGACACTTGGATGGGCCACAGGCCAAAACTGGGCCAAAACTCTGGATAGGAGGACCTGGCTCAAGGCCATATCACATTTCCATGTCATTTTCCAGTGGCACCAACTGAGCTGGACAGGCATATGGCTGGACAATCCCCACCCAGGAGGCAGGGCAAATTCCCAGAGTACCAGGTCACTGAGCCATCTCTGGGGTAGGGCTCCCAAGGACTGGCTGGTTCTGGAATGATGCCGCTGGGATGCCAGATGCCAGCTGCTCCCCCTGCCTGCCCCAGCCTCAAAGAAAGCCTTGTCCCTGCCAGACCATCACACATTCCCTGCTCTTGGAAGCCTTACCTGGTCAACCCCACCCAACTTTTACCACTTACTACACCACTTACTTCGCGTACCCTCAGCACTTCGATCCCAAGTTACCCTGTGCTCATTTGCCCTTGTTTACGTGTTACTTTGCAGATATTCTCACAGAGCTACACATGCCATGATCATCACTAGTTGCGAGAGTCTCCAGTGTTCATTAAGCCTATTTTGCTGGAGGATTAGTCCCTGCCCTTAAAGAGTGCCAGAGAAGACTTTGGGATCTAAGTCACATCTCCCCTGCTGCAATTTTTTTCCTTTTGATAATCAAGCAATCTCACTGATAAAATTCTCAACAAGGGGCAGCTCTCCCCATGAGCAAGTTCTTGCCTTGACTGCCAGGGAGGCCCCAGCTAAGGTTATACTGGGAAAGGAATCTCTGCGAGTACCTGTAAGAGGTCAGCTTCTCCTCAAAGCAAACCTCTCCAGCTGGTGTACTGCAAACGCTTCCAAGACCAAGTTCCCTTCTCCTGGCCTCTAGAACCTGCCTGTGTGCCAGTGCTGTGTCCCCAGTAACACACACGAGTCTCTCCCTCAGAAGCCACAGAAAGATGCAGAGAGAGACCAACCTGGGATTGATTCTCCGCCCTAGCACTTACTAATTGTGTGGACATAACTGGTCTGGACCTCAGCTTTGCTATCTATAAAATGAGAACCATTTTATAGATATGAACACTTGAGGAGAGTCATAAAGATTGAAGTTGATCTGTGCTGTGCCTGGTACAGAGGCCTCCCTCAGTAAATGGCAGCCATTGCTATTGGGATGCCCCTACACCCCTTGCCCCTGCCCACCACTGGCCTTCACTTAGGCCCACACTGAGGATGTGGCTGTTGTGTTGGGGAAAGGAAAGAAAGACCATGCCTGGGTTGCAGGGCCCCCACCCCCAACTGGTCTGCTTTTGTGGGAAGGCTTTTTTGATGCCTTCACCCTACCCCTGGGCTGATTGACTAAGTGTCCAGCATCATGAGGAAAGAAGCAGGGTTCAGGGACACTTGCTTCAGCCCTGAAACTCATCCAGGCCTAGGTCCAGATGAGAGGCATGCCTGGGAGGCCTTCCCTTGTACCCTTGCCTGTCCTGCAGCACCCTCCAGCCTGCAGGCCACTCCTGGGTGGCATAGCACCTTGGATGTCAAGTGTGGGCCTTCCCAGGCACATGGCAGGAGGGGTCACTTGTGTGGGTTGTTGGTGGCAGGAAGGGATGTGTCTCCAGCTGGATCTGGGTTCTTCCGTTTTGGGGCCTAGCCATGCCAGGACAGTGCACATGGGCACTTAGTGTGAATCTCATGATGGAGCAGAGGAGGAGCAAGGCAAAACCAGGAAGTCCCCAGGCCCCTGCTTCTGCCCTGCCCAGAGACAGTGGAGCAGGTGTCTCCAGCTTCTTAATCTCAATGCACAGTAAGAAATATATTTAACAGCAACCAACAGACACATACATTTACAAAACGATACTCTGTATTGCACTGGGATGGTTTTCTATCCTCACGACCCTCTAGTGAGTTGCAGATGAGTCTGAGAAATGCCGCTATAAGTAACGTAAGCAAGCCACAGTCCCTGGCTGGCAAGTGAGGAAATGCCCCACCGGGACAGGGACACTGAGGTAGCAATGAAAACAGCCGGTGCAACCACTCCTTCCTTTTCCCCCTGCTCAGCCCCTCATGGGTGAGGAGAGAAGCGGCCAAGCCGAGGACTCCATGAGAAAGATGCCGGAGCTGCCCCACTCTGCAGCAGGTGCTTCCCCTGGATTCTCACTAATCCTCACGACAGCCATGAGCACCAGCAGTTATCTGTTCCATTTTGGAGAGGGGGCAATGCAGGCTCAGAGGCTTTAAAAAGATGTACTGTGTGTTTGCTGTGTGCCGGCAATGTTCTGAATGGTTTATATAACGCACAGCGCTTATCTAGTCCCCAGAGCAGCCCTAGGCAGCCGGTACCGCTGCATCGGCACTTGGCAGAGCAGGACGCCACAGCTTCCCCAGCCCCCGGCTCAAGGTCTCACGGCCAATTGCAGACCTGCATCTCTCAACCCAGAACACCTTTAAGAAGTCCCTCCTGCCCCAGGCAGAGGCCTAGGCTTCCCTGCAGATCCAGGTGAACTTCAGCTAGGAGGCCTGCCTGTAAGTGGGGAACATCAATGGGAGGGAGCAGATTGAAAGCTAGAAGAGAATATGAATGAACAGCTGTGGTTGTGGGCTCACAGAAAGGGGGCAGCCCCTCCTGCCCAACTCTCCTCCTGAATCCAGAGGCTATTTTAGTTTAATGTTGATCATAAAAGAAATATTGATGGTGTGGCTGAATCAGGCTCCGTGGTGGCCTCCATGCAGGTAGCCTGCTCTGGACCCTGTGGTTCCCTGGCTGCTCCAGATGCCCTCACTCCCCAAGGTCAGCTGCAGACCAGAGCCTCCTGGGCACAGAGAGCCCTGCTCAGAAGGGACATTTCCATTCGCAGAGGTGAGAGGTCCTGCGGGTTTCGTGGTGGAAATGCAAAACCCTGTCTTTGGGACCTGATGTGGATCTGGCTGCCAGCGTTCAGGGTCACCTGTGGGGAGGGGCAGCAGCCACCCAGCTTTGCCGGAGACAGAGGGCAGGGCAAGACCTCGGGCTTCCCGCCCAGGATGCCATCAGCCAGCTGAAATTCCAGCCCACGCCGGCACCCCAGGGCTGTTGGGGAGGGGCGGGATTTATGACTTCCCCACCCCCCGCAACACCCCAATGGGAAATGTGTTGAGTTGGTCAACATCTCTCCGGTCACAGGGCCAGTGCTCCTGAGGCTCCTCAATGATGGGGCAGGAGCCAGGTCATTAGGCAGGGGAGACTGTCATTAGTGCGGGTGATGCCACCACCGCTCAGACAATGGCAAACAGTCATTAGCGGCTGTGTCACAGGGGTGAGGCAATGCTGGCTGGCTGGGGGTGGTGCTTCCCCAGCCACACACTCACACACACACACATGTTCACACACAAGGAGGAAGCAGACATGCTGAAGCACTCACTCCCACAAGGACATCTAGAGACACACACATCCACACGTGGGGGCATGAGTGTGTCCACACGCATTCACATGCAGGGTGTGAGGAGGCATGCGCTCCCACGTGTTCACACAGTCACATACAGGAGCATGAGCAGACAGCCACATTTGCACACTCACATGTTCACACAGAGGAATGAGTGAGCACAGGGCACAGAGACACAGGTTCAAACACTTACAGTACAACAAATTCACACAGGCACACAGGCACACTCGCATGCTCACATTTCCACACTCACACGCAGGGGCTGAGGGACACATGGCCCAGAGAGGGCCACAGTGTCTGGGACACCCCCACCCACACACACCCCAGGGGCAGGGCCCTCGGATCCTCCCCACGCCAGGCACCCAGACACCCCCTACCCTGAGATAGACACACAGAGCCTCGGGGGCCCCCGAGGAGAGACCCAAAGACACCCTCTCATCCCACCCACTCCCTGCTTCAAATGATGCAGCAGCCAGGAAGGAAAAACCCAGTGAAGTGAGGAGGCAGCCAGGCTGCATGGACCTCGGCAGAGGCCGTGTCGGCTGTGCCGCCGCAGGGCTCTCCACACTCCCAGCCCTGACGGCCAGCACAAACCTGCTCCCAACATGAACCCCCAAGAAATGGGCTGCTGTAGGCGTGTTCTCTGCCCGCTTCCCTGTGGGAGAGGGACAGGAAGCGGGAGGCTGGAGTTGGAGGAGGAGGGGGAGAAGAGCAACTGAAACTCAGCCCCTGGCCCTGGGTTGAATTCTCTGCCGTCCTCACCAGGCTTTCCCCCGCCAAGCTGTGGAGCTGCCCTTCAGAAAACACAGGCAGGCAGTGGGAAGAGAGGCAGAGAAAGTGGCGGGCACAGCCACGCCAGGCCAAGAGAGTAGCCTGGAACCCAGCCCTCCGCTCTGGGTTCAACGTCTAGCTCCACCACTTACCAGCTGGTAGCATTAGCTTCCTGCGGCTGCTGTAACAGATTTCCATGAATTTAGGGGCTCCACGCAACACAACTGTATTTCTTTATTTAAATAAATCTTACTGGCCGGGCATGGTAGCTCATGCCTCTAATCCTAGCACTTTGGGAGGCTGAGGTGGGAGGATCACTTGAGGTCAGGAGTTCAAGACCAGCCTGGGCAACATGGTGAAACTCCATCTCTACTAAAAATACAAAACTTAGCCAGGTGTGGTGGCACGTGCCCGTAGTCCCAGCTACTCAGGAGGCTGAGGCATGAGAATCACTTGAACCCAGAAGGCAGAGGCTACAGTGAGCCGAGATCTCACCACTGCACTCCAGCCTGGGCGACAGAGCGAGACCCTGTCTCTAAATAAATGAATAAATAGATAGATAAATCTTACTTACTACTGCAGCTCTGGAGGCCAGAAGTTCAAAACAGTCTCACTGGCTGAAATCAAGGTGCGGCGGGGCTGCATTCCCCCTGGAGACTCCACAGGGGAACCCATTTTCCTGCCCTTTCCAGCTTCCCATGGCTGCCCACGTTCCTGGGCTCCCTTCCATCTCCCTCACACCGCCTCAGTCTCCTGCCTCCCTCGTCCAGTTTAAAGGACCCTCATGATGACACTGGGCCCACACAGATAATCAGGATAGTCTCTCCACCACGGGATCCTTAATCCCATCTGCAAAGTCCCTTCTGCCATGTAAGGGAACATGTTCACGGGTTCCGGGGATTAGGATGTGGACATCTTTGGGAGGCTGTTATTTTGCCCACACTGGGACAAGTCATTTAAGCTCTCAGAGTCTCAGCATCTTCAACTGTAAACTGAAAATAACTCCTCCACATGGGTGGCCATGGGATTTGGAAAGCCACGTGAGTCCTCAAAGCACTGCGCCTCTCACCCGGGCCACCTCAATCAGCTGCACTGCCCTCTCCAGCTTGGGCTTCCTGAGGATGGCTTTGAAGCAGTGTGCGCCAGGAGAGGGTGAGGAGGGACCCTGAGGCCAGTGAGGGGGTCCGTGTGGACTTGGGCAGGGGCCGACACTCGGGGTAAGGACTGGGAGGAACACACGGGGGTTCCCTGGATCCGGGCGGCAATGAGCCTGTGGTGGGGGAGCCACCCTGAGCTGAGGACTCACAGCTACAGGGACCCAGCACTCAGTCTCCTGAAATGGGCTGCTGTAGGCATGTTTCTCTGCCCGCCTCCCTGTGGGAGAGGCACAGGAAGCTGGAGGCTGGAGTTGGAGGAGGGGGAAGAGAGCAACTGAAACCTAGCCCCTGGCCCTGGATTGAATCTTCTCTCCTGTCCTCACCAGGCTTTCCCCCGCCAAGTTGTGGAGCCGCCCTTCAGAAAACACAGGGGGTGCTGCTCCTGTTTATTCCTGCCCTCCCCTCCCTCATCTACTGCCATCTGTTTGCAGGGCCTCAAGGCCAATGGGCAGGCAGAGGCCCCAGACCAGCCTGCTATTACCCTGGTAAGTGCAGCCTACAGAATGATGACCCAGCAGATAAACCCCGCATAGAGGAATCGCCTGCTGGAAAACAGTCATTAGCCCCCGATCCCGCCCAGCACTGTTTGCCCTCTCAAGAGGTAGCCAGTGGCTGCTCAGAGGGGAGCTGGGGTCATTGGATTCCCACCAGCCGCCCTGCTCCATCCAGCGGCCCAGGCCGGGAGGCTGATCCTGAGCCCATCTATGCCCACTGACCCAGCCCGCCCCCT